TGGCACGAACTCGTGCGGCCTTTTCTTTCTCGATTTGACCAATTTTCTTTGGGCGGTCTGGTAAAAAGGGATTATGGGGATCAATAATAATTTTCTTGAGGGCAACCGCATTCTCCAGTAAGTATATGACAAGTTCCAGTTCACTTTTGCGGCCATAATACCCAAACACCTCCACCTCTTCAAGATTTTGATGGGAACATCTCGCGACCTTCCTCACTTTCCTTTTGTCAATTGAGGGTTTAAACCAGTCTACCTGAGTGAAAATTGGATATCTGCCCGTCAGTCCATGCTTCCACAAGAAACATAATAGCAACAAGCTACAGATACAACAAACACTATATATTTCTACAGTCCATTCTTTCCACAAGAAAGGAATCAAGTTAATTAAGCCATATGTCAACCAGGTACAGACAATATGAAACCCTCCTTGCCCCTTGCCCCCTGCCCCCTGCCCCTATTCTTCAATCGTATCAATAAACTCAGGAGGTCAACAGAACATCAAAAACAGACCTTTCATTTTCTACCAAAGTACAAAGTGAAAAAATAGCAGAAACTATAAAAGACAAACTAAAACAACTTTATAATTGTTTATTCCTCACTAATCATGAAATTATTTCCTTAACATTTAACAGCATACCACCCTATGATTGCAACCTGCAAGTGTTCTTCAGTAGATTAGTTTGATGTTTGAAGGCAGAAAGGGCAACCCATTAAGCCTACAAGGCTAGCAGTAAGGCGGTTAATTTTAATGTTATTATGGCACCCGCAGTCACGCTATTAGAGTAAATAGTTTTTTTTATCTCCAAATTCTACTCTTTTGAGTAGCTTCCACTATCTGCAAACATTCTCTCTCTCTCTCTCTCTTGCTGAACATTTTTCTCTCTAATTCTCTTTCTCCCTCTCCATTTACCCTCTCTCTTCATTGTCAAGCTCTATTCTATGCACATATGATGTTTTACCCAGGGAATTCTAATGAAATTGGACATGAAGGTCTACATGAAAAAATTGGAGAATAGAACTAAAACAAAATAAACTTTAAAGACTAAACTGAACTTTTGGAGCAAAGTTTTGGGGCCAAATAAGATGTCAATCCAGATTTATACTAGTGAAAACCATCAGAAATCACATAAATTTATAAGGGGGCAGTATATATCAAGTTCATAAAAAAGGAATTGCAGGCACTAAACATTTGAAAAATTAGAAAGTTAAAGCGAATGGGTGAGGAGTGCAGATTTTCAGAGACTCGCCACCACGGTTACATTGGAAGTCCCTTAAGCTACCAATGTGGTCGAAACACCTAAGCATTGGGTGTGGTGCCAAGAGCACATTCATGCAATAATGATAGTTTATGGAGTAACCATAAACCAAAAGAATCGACTAAGTCTGATATGATTCAATCAAGTTGTATCTGACTCGACGCTTTCTGTTCCTATATTGTTCCACATTATGTGTAATTCGTGATTCACTTGAAGACGCCTTGGTTGGTAGAATCATCCGATTCATCGACACACTACATATCGCCCAATACCGTTGTATGAAGTCGTGATATTGCCTAAATTGTTCATCGAGTTTAAATTTTCCCATCACTTCATGTGGTATCACCAAGGATCAAAGTATCGTTTTGAAAAGTCGAAACGTTTTCATTTCCAAAGAGGTTGAAACGAATCAGTAATAGAATCGAAATTTTAATACTTCTAGGTGTTTCATAATGTTTCGAAATGTTTTGTTATATTTCAATGCATTTGCACAATTATTTCGGAATGTTTTAAAGTATTTCAAGATATTTTGGTATATTTCGACCAATGTTTTTGAAAAATAATTCTTAAATATTTTATTTTTTTTCATTTTGTTTTCGAAACGGGTCGAAACGTTTCCAAAACTTGTCACAATGTTTCTGTTTCTTAGGTGACCGAAATCATGCACTAAAACGAAATTTTGATCCTCGGGTATCACCTTATCACATTCTACAATGCTCTAACTGATATGTCTAAATGGCTTCAAGTCAATGACCGATACTGTGACTTTAAACCATGGCTTACGTCATGGAGCACACGAACCTATTACAATACTTTGTGGATGATGCATGGAAGCTAGAAGCCATCAAGTAGGTTTCAATTTTTTGGTCTTGTTGGATATTATTTACGTTTTGATAAAGGAACATGTGCCTTTTGAGGCAAGCTCTATATTGTTAGATGGCTTGTTCTACTGTTACTTAAAACAACAAGCGAATAAAGGGGTCAAGGATACCAAGGGCCTAGGTGCAAACAAAGTGCGGGCTTCTGTGAAGTGCAACCATGATGTAGATAATTAGTGAATTACAATTTATACTATAAATGCAAGTGAAAGCTATACGTTTTTAAAATTTTTATGCAAATACAACATATACTCCTTATCTGAACAGCAAGTATCAATAATATTCTACACAAAAAAGCTTGTAAGCAAATCCACTGATACTACCCATTTGAGTGAATTTCTAGAGCATAAAACAACTTATAATAAGATTACTAGCAAAATTAATCAACAACGTTCAGTATCAAATCTCAGTAAATTATACTAAAAATTGACATTTTTTTGCCCAAGACTGCTAATTTGATAATGATTGTCCTCCTTAACCACTTTCAGCATCAGAATTCATTAAAACGCTAAAAAAATTTCTTAAACCAAAGTAAGAAGGAAGAGGAACAAGGGAGAGATGACGACTATCACAAAGTGAGTATATTCCTTAGAACCAAATGCTAATTTTACAATATTACAGACTAATTGAACAAAAATAAAGGTTTATTTTTCAGAAAAAGAGTATGATTCCAGTAAATTAGGTGCTACTTTAAAAAATAAAGATAGAATGGGAGATATAAAATTAGAGAAAGAGGCGTGTAAAATAGATATTTACACTTTGGGTAGATTAGACCTAATCTGCTAAGTCAACTGGAAGGGTTTGAAAGTTTTTTTTTTTTGACAAGTAGGGTTGAAGTGAGAATTTAGTAGTTATACTTGGTGTTCTAACTTCTAACTAGTGTGATGCATATCAAGTATTGCATGCAAAGGCAACATATCAATGACCAAACTATAACACCGAAGGAAAAAAAGGCCCACGCTCATGTGTGTCAGGCTAAAGCCTGAGACAAGCATGCGCTCATTAAAGTGTTTCAAGTGCGACTCGCCTCATCTGGGGAATCATTGAAATATCGATTTGATTGACTGAAGAAAGAAGATTGGTCATAAAAAAAATTATCCAATGGAATTTTAAAATAAAGATAAGGTTTCATTGGATTCCAGCAGATATATCTTTATTTCGAAATTCCATTGTATTCTAATGGAGTAATGTAAATATACAACAAGTTAAACACACCTTGCATAACTCATTTATATAAATGTGTGCTGGCGAAAAAAGAAACTAGTTGGAGACTGAGAAAAAATTAAATGGATCAAGGACAGTGATAATAACTTTAAATTGTTTCATATGGTTGGTAACGACAAATTGAAAAAGTTGATAATTAGGATTGAGACTATGTCCAAAAAGTGCTTGAAAGTGAGAATCTTAATATTTTCGAGATTGTTAATTATTTCTCCATATGGTGCTAGTTGCTAACGAGATTGTTGAAGAGTATAATGAGAATAAAAAGGAAGGTTTTGTGTTCAAGCTTAGTTTTGGAAAAAAACTTATGATATGTGGATTGGGATTTTTTGGAGTATGAGATGATTAAGAAAGGTTTTGGTTTGAGATGGAGAGAGTAGATTTTGGGAAGCCTAAGGTTAGTTACTTATTGTCGTTATGAATGGTTAAAAGCAAGGTTGTTTTAGAGCCACAAGAGGTCTTGGGCAAGGAGATCCCCTATAATTGGGAGGTATGTTTTGAGTTGAATGATGGATATGGCTGGTAGTCTAGAGGTGATGAAGGGCTTTAAGATTGGTCGGGAAAGAGATGGGGTGTCTCCCTCATAATTTGTTGATGACACCATTTTTTTTGTAAAAAAGATGAAAAGAACATTCATTTAATTGCCATAGTTTTGAAATGTTTTGAATTGGTATCCGGCCTTAGAGTGAATTTATCTAAGAGTACAATGGCCAGGCTCAATATGCAACATGATAAATTGGTTAGAGAGGCTAATGCTTTAGGTCATTCCTCATCTTTACAGTAACTAGAAATCAACAAAGTCATTGAAGAAGTTTAACTTGTTATTATCGAGAATAATCAACAAGCCTAAGGTTTCGGTACTATTCTGGTTTCATCCAATCACACTCCTTGCATTAGTTGGTATCAAACGTTGCACTCATTCTTGCACCATGCCGCCAAGACGACATCATGCTACTTTACACGAAGTCGTCGTCAAGATGTGTTCAAACGTGATAATGTTTCCAAATTAGCACAAATGATTAAAGCGTTGACTATTCAAGTCCATAGATTGATGGCTGACTATAAACGTGTAAACCGATTCCCATTCAATTACGTGGACAAAAAGGTGTCTGGCCTTATATATGATTTACCTCCGTCGGTCATAGATCTTGGGATTTTGCTGATTTCACTGTCATATCAATAGACAATGATACACAAAGATGGAAAACCAGGAAAAGATAATTACAATAATAAAGTTGTTGACACTGTGATCCCGGAGGATATCTGAGTTTTTGACACGAACTCAAAAGAGGTATTTTTCCTAGTGATTCATTTTCTATGCAACCACAAGTTAACTGGGATTCACCCCCGATTTCCAACAAATATCCAGATGATGATCATTTAATCAATGTTCAAGACGATTTTGATGTCCCTCTATACAATGTATACCCAGAGGATGATCTTATCCAAATATTTGAAAAGCATGGAATTTGACGTAGCTGCTGAAGATAAGGGATATATATGTGTGTGTGTGTGTGTGTGTGTGTGATGATATGAAAAGCCATAAAAAGTTTCTGGGATCAATTTATATGGGACCAGAATATGTTTTCAGTGGGCAGGCATTTACTCATAGCCCAGTCTGCCCCAAGGTGCATGCGTGCTTTAGATGGAAGAATCTAAGGAAATGCAATTTATCAATAATGATGTTACAGTCATTGAAGCGTGCAGCGAGACAAAAGTGAAGGTAGATGAATCTGAAAAGGAACTACCAAATAGGGGTCAGCTTCTTAAATCCATGGCTGTGGTTTCTATGGGAAAGGATGGTGACAATTGGGTGGAGTTAGTGGCTTTTTCATCGCTGGAAGCTGCTGATGTGAAGCTAGTTGCAATTGAGGGCAAAGACATGGATTCTGATTGGTATATGAAGGCCAATAGTAACTCATAAGCATATTCAATGGTTAAGATTTCGCCATCTTATAATGATCCATTTTGGTTCAAACTCTTTAGCAAAATATACGACTAAGAAAGTTTGAAGTCATCAGTGTTTTTTTTTCAAGATAAAGGATTATGGGTGTGAAAGTTATGGATATGCTCGAGACAAGATTCCACTAGGACTAGGTCTATGGTTCCTTTGTAATGTATTAATGGTTAAGCTATTAGTGTACTTGGAGGATCGAAATTTTTGCATGGTCCAAATGCAAATGAAAACCTTAGTATCAAATTACGATTCTAAAGGCTTGTCGAAAGCCTAAATTCCAGCAAATAATTAACATGAAGTGAATTCGAGGGTCAAATGTTTTCCGACCTGCGGAGATTGATGCAGGGCTGGTGTCATGAATTCTGGCATTTTATTTGAATGTGGTCAATTCATTCAATTAGGCAAATTTTAAGAGATTTTATTTTATTTCCTCATTTAATTAGGAAACTAATTTATTTTATTTTCTGGTATAATTAAGATTTTATTTTATTTTATTTTTTAAGTAAGTTAGGATCTAATTTCCTAGTTTGACTATATTCCTGCTATTATAAATAGTGAATAGTGAATAGTGTAACTCATCAAGGAGCTTTTGATTTCTTGAAATACTATTATAGAGAATGTTTTCTCTTCTTTCAAATTACTTTAGTATTATTATCAATTAACAATGTTATTCTGGCTTCGTCCAATCACCTCCCTCCATCATTTTGCCTCATTGTTTCCTCTCTTATATTAGTTATCAAGATCGCATCATTCATCCATTAGTAGGGTATTCTCACCATCTTTCATGACTAATTGGAACTTCAATTTCTTTAGAAATTTGAATGATAGGGAAACAAATAAGTCTTCTCTTTTGGGTTTTCTTGACAACATTCTTCTTTTAATAAAAGAAGATGGACCATTTCTCCATTGGGTGACTACCCATGCAATCATTTTTTGAATCCTTGATTGATAAACCCTCGCTTCCGTTATTAGAACCTTTATCTTTGATTTAGAAGAGTAAGGCACCTTGAAGGTACAAGTTTTTGCACGGTTGATTGCTCCTAGGACTCTCGGCAATACCCAAGAGTATATTTTGCAAATTTGAAACATAGGTACAATGAATAAACAACTTATCCAAGTTCTCTACAAAGGATGCGCCATTACGGTTGAAGATAATGTGACCACCTTCTTTTTGGGATCATCGCAATAGTATTAAGCTTCTTAGGCATTCTTCTAAAAATGGTACAATTTGTGATTCGATTCGCGATTCGATTTGTATGATTCGCGATTTGATTCGTACGATTCGCAATTCGATTTAGTCCCGATTCGATTTGTATCTTACTATAGGATCTTTTTTTTTTTGCCAAAAATCACACCAGAATCACAAGAATTGTACGGTTTGATTCGAATCAAAGAAATCACATGATTTGATATATATTTTTTTTAAAGCCTATTCCTAATAAAACGATATCATTTTACTAGAAAAGTCCCACCCCAAATATAAAACTAGCGCGTCTCACTGCATCTCGTATTCGTCTGTCTACCTCTCAAGCAACTATTCAAACGACTATAAACATCATACAGAGACGATGTCTCCTTCGTTCTACGTATGCTCCTTTTTCAAAAACAGCTACCAAACTCTAACATACTCTGCTTCTTCTTCATCGATAAATGGTTTATTTTTTTTTTTTATCAAAAACTTAGTTTTCTTTCGAATGTGGGAAGTAATTTTCTAAATTTATATGTTCGAATCAGTATGGGCTTTTCCTATTAGTTTAACTTTACTAATAGGAATACAATAGCTATTTGTTGGTTAAAAATCATGCATCTTTCATCCTAATCATTTTTAAGGAACGATTTATTATTCATTAAAAAAGAAGTAACAAATGTACGAACTTAAGTGTAACTTTATAAAGATTTATAAAAGTTATCATCTTTTCATTTACTCAACGTGATCATGCCAATACCGTCAATTGATTATTTTTAAAATACAATAATATTTAATACTTAATATCTTACCTATGTTAAATATGTACATGTTACTTTTTTTATCATTGTTCGAATTTTGTGTCGAATATTACAATTCTGATTCCAAAATCTAGAATTTCAATTCCAGTATGAATCTCGATTTGATAACTATGCTTCTGATGGACACTTTGGCAATTTCTTTACAGCTTCCAACTGAATCTTCTGTTGCTACAGCTCCAACCACGACACCAGCTTCTCCATCTTTACCAACACCTTTTCTTGCACAGCCACAAAATCACCCCACCACAGATTCTTCCAAACCATTGTCCAGTACGTTAGCTTCACCAGTTGTTCCTTCTGTTCAAAATTCAAAAACATCCACAGTAATCCATTAGCCAACATTCAATGCCCCAGAAAATCATGCTTCAACGCCTCCATCTTTTCACTCGATGATCATCCACAGCCGCGATGGTACTCGAAAACCAAAAAATTTTATGGCTACTAAACATCCTATTTCTTCTACATTCTTCATTACCGTTCATGATCAAAATGCTATGGCACCCACCTCCTACTGTCAGGCCGCCAGAGACCCCAATTGGGTCTCTACTATAGCCTCAGAATATCAGGCTCTTATGCAAAACAATGCATGGACTCTTGCTCCTTATCAATTCGACCTGAATGTCGTGGGTGTAAGCAGGTTTATCATATCAAGTGTCACATTGATGGCTCTTTAGAACTTTACAAAGCTCGACTGGTTGCCAAAACTTTCACACAACCACCCCGAATTGACTTCACTGATACCTTTAGTCTAGTCATTAAACCATCCACCATTCACATAGTCCTTAGCCTGGTTATCTCAAACTGTTGGCTAATTCGACATCTTGATGTCCAAAACCAAGGAAGTCTATATGGCTCAACTGTCTTGCTTCATCAAGTCTTCTAAACCATCCTATGTTTGTCACCTCCACAAGGCTATCTATGGTCTTCGTCAAGCTCGTCCAGCATGGTTTCAACGATTTAGCACCTTTCTCATCAATTTCGATTTTTGTCATAGTCAGGCTAATACCTCCATATTTGTACTTCGGACAAATAATTGTATACTAGTTCTTTTATACGTTGATGACATTATTTTGAATGGCACATCCTCATCTATGGTCACCTCATTCTTGGCTCAACTTAAAAAGGAATTTGCAATGAAAGATTTGAGTGATCTACATTACTTTTTGGCATCGAACCTACTCGAAATGCCATTGGCCTTCAGCTAACCTAAAACAAGTATACGTATCTACTACAACGTGTTGGAATGCTTGGCTCTAAATCTTGTTTCACGCCTATTCCCCTCTGGCTCAAAATTATCACCAACTGATGGAACTCCCTTCCAAAACCCTACCGAATATCATAACCTAGTTAGTGCCTTACAATATCTCATTCTAACTCGCCCCGACATTTGTTATTCGGTGAACCAAGTGTCAATTTCTTCATTCACCCACAACCGAGCATTTACAAGCTGTTAAGCGTATTTTACGCTACATTAAGGGTTCCCTCGATTGTGGTCTTGCCATTCGCCCTCAGCTCATTTTATTCACTCATCGCCTTTTTAGGTCCAAATCTTGTCTCTTGGGGTTCAAAGAAACAGCCTACTGTCTCATGGTCTAGCACCGAAGCCAAGGATAAAGCTTTGGCAATGACAACATCCGAAATGCTTTGGATTTCCTACCTACTTCAAGAGCTTCATGTTCCACCAAATCCTTGTATAGTTCTTCACCATGACAATATGGGCCCAACTCACATGACTTCAAACCCAATATTGCATGCTCACACGAAACATATTGCAGGCGACTATCATTTCGAGCCAAACCTTGTAGTCAAAGGTGCTCTTCATGTTTGGTTTCTTCCTTCTAGGTCTCCACCTGCTGATGTATTCACGAAAGGCTTGCCAGCACCTACCTTTCTCAAACATATTTCCAAACTATTGCTAGTTTCCTGCATTAGTTTGTGGGGACTGAAAAACTACCGGTAACCACTATGTAGAAGATAGTTTTGACTAATCCAATGTTATCTTCTAACTAGATCTCTTGTAAAGAATAATTATTGATTGTACACTCAAACTCCAATATATATATACAACGCCTCAACTCATTTACAAGTGAGTCATTCCAAACTATTAGTCTTTTCACTTTCACCAACCAACCATCCAAACCACCACCTTCACGTAACAAGTTGAGACCTCACCCTTACTCCCAACCTCCAACTCCATTAATGGACCACCATAATTACTGATATGACCACAAATATCACCACATGAACACCGCTATCCAATAATAAATAACAGGCTCTAATGTTGATTTTTGGAGGTACATAAAAAATAAAAAGCTCATCCACTTTGAAGAAATGTTATGTTGAACAATTTTTGGGTTTTGTGGTTAGAAAGGCGAGAATTTTTTAAGATAATGGGCAAATCATAGATTACCTCCCGGGGTTTGCACTCGTAACAAATTACCTCTGTACTATGAAACATGGATACTTCAAAAGGGGCAAAGTATCAATATCGAATACTTCTCAGATACGGATATGCGTTCAATACGGCCAGATGTGTATCCGATACGGCTGGAAAGTGTCTTAGAATTAAAATAAATAAATTTCATTTCAAATACTTTAGGATACGTCGGGATACGCAGGGATACATTGGGGATACAGTGGGGTATTGAATTTTTTTTAAAAGAATAAGGGCACCAGCGCAAATATATTTGCCTTATTCACGAATGTTTTCCTATTCAAGACATAATACTAATTCCTTTGAAGCTACTACCACTACCCAAGTTGGCTTACTTGTTTTGGTTACCGGTTGATGTTTTGAAACTAAAGAAAGAATATTCGGTTGGGCTTTCTAGCAATGGGAGATTAGTCACCGGAAAACTTAATGGCTTGCTCCTTCAAAATAAGGTGGATAAGACAAGGTGGCCTATTCCAATAGCTAGCAAACAGGCTATTATGTCTATTCAACATATTCCAATTGTGATACAATTCCATTGCCTGCTCCTATTCATGTTCGTGTTTACTTGTATGGCATAACTTCAAGGTCAATAAAAAAGGACTCCTATCCTAGGTCTGAAACTCGATCAAATTACTCCTACAAAAGCTTATATGGTGTGTATCCTACTCCTCTCCCGATATGAGTTATGTCCTAACCGTTCCCTTGGGCTTGTTTCAGGAAGCACTTCGGTCACTCCAGTAAGTATATAGATTATTTGACTGGCGACAAAGAATGATTTTACCAACGAAATGAGGTCAAGCCAATTAGCAAGTCGACCAACTCGTTCACATTCATTTGACCTACTCTTAAGATAAGTTTGTTCTCCTTTAGCTTCTTTAGTCAATTCTAATTGTTCATTCTTAGTTGACCGTTCCACTAGGGCTTCCCCTTTTAAGTAGAAGCCCTGCATTGCACTCCAGTGTTGAATTTTTTGATCGGCAAAACGAGTTATTTCCATTTCATTTTGACTAAGGAAAGGAACAGACTTTAGTTGACGAAAAAAAATGTATATTGATACGTTCAATTAAGTCCCGTACTCTATTCCTATTGCGGATCCTAGAATTCTATCCCAAAAATGACCTTTGAAATCATCTAGGGGCGCCATAGTGAAATCAATCATCCCTTTCCATCCTTCTATTTGTAGCTCCACGCCATTTGCAATGCCATGGATTGGTTTCGCAACAAAGTTAATGGCCTTAATGTGGCTGGTGCCCCTTTCCACCTTTAACCCCAACAGCTTGGCTTTCCCCGCAAATATGAAATTGTGGGTTGCTCTTGTATCAACAAGGGCCCTATGCCCGCTCCTCCTCCATTGTGTTGTGATTGATTTCGTGCTATCAGATAAAAAGCTTATTCAGGCTCTTCCTCGACTAACTATTCGCCTTTTGGTTAACTGAATTTGGGTGCATCCAACATGCTTAAGTTTTAAACTTTGCAAACCTACTTGAAATATGTGAAATGGATACAAACTAAGTATAGAGCCCCCGTATATATAGTCAACAATAAAGATACAATAAGGATAAAAATGTAAAACAAAGGTAAAAAGGAAAACCCTAATAATCTAAGCTATAACTTCAACACTCTCCCTCAAGCTAGGCGCAAAAATATTAACTAAATTAAGCTTGACAACAAAGTCTTAAAGAATGAATAGAGTGACAGATTTGGTGAAAACATCCGCAACCTAATCACTAGTCCCCACAAACAATGGAGTGACAATACCACAGCTACCCTTCTCCCGAAGAAAGTGAACATCGATCTATATATGCTTCGTCCTCTCGTGTAGTACAAAGTCAGAAGCAAGCTGAATAGCAGACCGATTATCACAATATAATGTGGATGAAAAAGTCACTAGAAATTCCAACTCGCCAAGAATTGATCATAGCCAGATAATCTCACATATGTCAAGTGTCAATGCCCGATACTCTACCTCTGCTGACGAGCGGGAGACAACTGACTGCTTCTTGCTCTTCCAAGAGATAAGATGAGTCCCTCGACAAACATAGAAGCCCGTAATAGATCGACCGTCACATGCTTACCCATAATTTGAATCTGAATATCACGCTAAAGAACCAGTCTGAGATCCTAATGCATAGAACAACCCAAGTCCAAGACAAGGCTTGAGGTACCGAAGAATATGATAAACTGCATCAAGATGAGGCTGACACGGCCTATGCATAAACTGACTAACTCGACTGACTGCGAATGAAATGTCTGGCCTTGTTTTGGCTAGGTAGATAAGTCTACCTACCAACCTCTGATAGATAGTCGGATCTCTCAACTCTTTACTTTCAGCAGTAAGCTTCAGATTTGAAATCATGGGTGATAATGCCGGTTTGCACCCGAGCATCCCAATGTCTAAAAGAAGATCCAGAACATACTTTCTCTGAGAAAGAATAACACCCCTGCTTCTATGGGCAACCACAATCCGAAGAAAGTATTGCAGAAATCCAAGGTCCTTCACATCGTAGGCCTTCCTAAGGTCTACCTTGACCTGCGCAGTCCCAAAAATATCATCCCAGTAATAATAATATCATCAACATACACTAAAACAATGACACACTCTCTAGAAGTATTCCGCCGAATAAAATAGGTATGATCAGAATGACATTCGGTGAACCCCAAACATACGACTACATCACTAAAGCGAGAGAACCAGGCTCGTGATGACTGTTTCAGTCCATAAAGAGACTTACGCAGTTGACATACCTTTTTAGCATATTCCCCTCACCACGAAAGTCCGGTGGTGCATCCATATAAATAATCTCGTCCAGATCGCTGTGAAGAAATACATTCTTCACATCTAACTGATGAAGAGGTCAAGAGTATTAAGTAGTTAGAGAAATAATCAACTGAACAGTAGTC